TTGTTGGGGGTTGGCATTCTTGTTTACGTGCGTTGCACAAAAGCAAAATGTTCCAAAAGCATTAACTACTAATCTAATAATTGCATAATTAACGGGTGAGTTGAGATCAATGATGGATCCGTCCGAATCTTTCTCCATATGACATCAGCAACCTGTCAGAATCTCACTTTTATATATATAGTCCCATTGATACAACAAAATATGGTTCCTCGAATCAAAATATACAAAGACAAACATGCATCTGGTGAACGGACTAGTTGAGAAGATTCATTAAAATCGCATTCCAAATCTTTACACATCCTTTGATTAACGCAACACACATCCTATCCTACATATATATAACAAAATTTGAAATTATGTTGGGCTGAATCTTTAACAGAAAGGAAACTAATTAGATATTATATATGTAACATGAGACATAGCATTAGACAATACATAAATACGTTTGTTATATAAAAAAAATGTAACAATTAAACGAAACAGCTGAAGTCAAACACCCTAATGATAATCTTCCACGTATATACTTTGTATTATTGTATCACATCATTAATGTAACACATTTCGAATGCTCCTCTCTCACAAGAGACCAGAACTGTCTTGTTGATAATTGCGAAATTGTTGACTCTCTCCTCTCTTATTATTATCTGAATGAAAGAAAATACTTTTGCTTAGCAATATATAATCCAATCTCTTCTTGATCATATCAATAAATAAGTGCATGGACTTGGTAGTATGTATTCGGTTGAGTATACAGGTGTAATGTAAGTAGTAGATACAGATACAATACAAGAGAATGGGATCAAAATAAGCCACAAGTGAGTTAAACAACAAGACTTTGGGAGGAATCTAATCAAGTCTCATCAAAAAACATTTTATTACTGAATCATATCATCATCATCTATGATACTTGATCATTGATTCCACATTCCAGATTAAAGACAAGACATGCTTTAGCTAAGATGGATTAGAATTGTTACCACGGTAACAATGCCTCGAGGCAGTCTAAGTTATGTTTTTCTAAAGCTTGTATCCATCCTCTTGATATTGCTGTTGGCCATCATTTGATGTAGATTTAAGAAGAGACCTTCCTAGCACGTTTAAAGCCGCTACACGCTGCATCTCTCTGGCTGCACCAGGAAAGGAATGGATTACTTAAAAAAAAGCCACCTTTACAAACCTACATATGTTTATAACTGCAAGGGAAGGGGTCTCTGTCTGTGGTAAAAGAGTGCGTACCTTCCTCGAGAGAGAATTGAATAGAGCGCTTTTCCAAGTCAACAGCATGCTTGCTAAGCTCGGCAGAGGAAAGCACTAACAAAGAAAGAAATCACAAGTCTAAGCAGAGAGAAGACAGTTAGTTATATAGGGGAATATTGGGGCCTTACTCCGAAGATGATCCGTCCGATGAGAAGAATCATTAAGAAGCATTTGAAGATGATGGTAACGCTCTTCCCAGTCTTCTAACAACTTCTGGGTGGTGCTGCTTGGTGCCCCAAGAGACGACTCGGTTGGCTTATTCGTTGCGGCTTTGGCTGAGTCAAGCTCGGCTCTTCTGCGGACATATACAATTGAAGAAGAAGATGGATTCGCATTGGAAGCTGGAGATGGATTCGATTTCTCAGATTCAGATTCAGCTTTCGCAAGAGCAATCTTCTCCATTTGAACCCTAAACGGAATGACAGAGAGTGATTAGATTCCAGAGCAGAGGAATGATGATGATGCAGGCCCAATAAAAGGCCCACTTTGTTTGGGCATTTTGTGAGTTGAATTTTTAGATCCACCAAAAAAGGAGAGCACTAGACACTGCCACTGTCACCACTGCCATCTCTATAGCCATATAACTCGTTTCTCTTTCTACCCATCGTAACCTCAAGCCTCATCCCTCCCATCCAGTGCCAACGCCTTCTCTGGATAACTTGACATATTAACGAAACCAAGAAGAACAAGATTTGAAACCATATCTGAAACAAGACGAACAAGATTTTCAAACAAACAAATACGCACAGATTTTAAAAATAAAAATAAAACACATAGGTCTTTGATGAAATCTCTGAATTCGATCTTGTCAAGTTTTTTTGACAATTTCAGTCGGCTCGTTAAGACAAATTTAGGGAAAAAGCAAAAACTAATCATATATACGTGCAGCAGCTTCTCTCATTTTCATAAAAACTATTTAGTCTTTAAAGAGGTTTGTGAGACTAGCAATTATGTTAATGAAGACTAGTAAAAAAACCTTAGTGGATTTGCTAACCTTAGTCAAGGCAGTGATTTGATCTTGATCACTTTCCTGGAAAAATAAATGGTTAATGACAATGAATAAGACATACATATAGAGTCATAAACAGAAAAGATGACAACTTATTAGGTTTAAAAAGCACAAGTCAAAAACAGGTTAAGCTAAAGCTGATGAGTCTGGCGGAAAGTATAGATGGAGAGATCAGTTCGGGATAATAATGAGAGTTGTTGGTACGTCATACCTTCCACTGTTTCCCCTTCTGCCAAGGATGTTGTAAAAAAGAAAGCCATAAGAACAAGAGGAAGAAAATTACATCGGATAGGGATAGTTTTATAGGGATCAATGAATTGGAATTTATTTTGGATTTTACTTTTTAAATAAATCCTAGCAAGTTTTCGGATCTTTTAACAAATTCAGTGGTGGTTATTAGATCTTTTAGGGCATTAGTAGGTTGATAGGCAAAAACACTTGCCACATTTTTGTTTTTGTTAATTACAGAGGAGTGTGTTCAATTTTGATTTACATTGTCAAAATCTCGAAACCATAGATCCCGACCAGCTAGGTCAAACTTGAACACAAGTCACTAAATAGCAGGAAAATATCCCATAACACAACTTCACTTAAAACACACGCAAGTCTCATGTAGCTGGTTGGTAAACACGTAGCAGCAGAGGCTATTCGCTATCGCTTCTTCATTTTGCTTCATCATTTTGCTTGGGAGTCTTAAAAACGGCGCCTGCAATATCAACAACAAAAGATTACCACACAAGTTACTTTCTTCTCACGATTCAATAATAAAGAAATGTACCTGGGGGGGGAGTGATTCGCCTTCCGAAATTCTCTTGGAATCGTTTCATACGGCGCTTATTCAAAGCTCTACCACAACGCTCACAACCACTGAAATTAGTAAAGCCATAGTACTCGGTTCTGTCTATAGCCATTGTAACCTGAAGCCTCATCCCTCCCAAGTAGGTTCCATTGAGTGCTAAGCCCTTGTGTGCATCTCTTATCATATTAACGAAACCAAATCTGAAAGAAGAAAAAGTAAATATTTTTGTTTGCATTTTAACATAAAATGTCAGAAGAAGACACAAACCCTAAGGGAGAACCGGTTTTACACTCATACGGAAGAAAAACCCTCCAAACCTCTCCACAAGAACTGAAGTGTTTTGTCAATGTGCTCTTGATATCATCAATTGGAAAGGAACAGTCGAACCCCCTAACGAATATGGTCTGTCCGTTTCCCATATCAGAATCTTCATTTTCGAATAAGCACTCATATTCTACCTTCTTTGGAATTTCTTTCTCCTAGTTGAAATTAAACAAACAGATCATCATAAGTGTAAAAGTATCATTCAGAGAAATAAACAATTAAATAGGGTCCTGCCTAAAATAAGCACATACCTTTGATGACATCTCTGAATTCTTGTTAAGTTTTTTGACAATTCCAGTCAGCTCGTTAAGACAATTACCTATTTGATCAACTTTCTGCCATGGAAATAAGAAACAGAAAATGGGTAAGCAACTGGTTCGCTCTGAAGCATCTTTAGTATAACTAAGGAGAGAATGCTTTTAAGAGGATTGTGAATTAAATAACAAAAGAGTTGCTAACCTTATTCAAGGCAGGGATTTCGTCTCCATCACTTTCCTGGAAAAAGATATATAGCCAGAAAAGCAAATTCAATCAAGGAGATGAGTTATAAAGATTCGAAACAGGGATGTGGTACCTTCCGATTCTTCCGCTTCTTTCCCTTCTTACGCGTTACTAACGGCGAAGGTGTCGAGATTGCTCCAATCTAACAAGATACAAAACAGAAACAAGGTCAAAAGTGATTAAGGATAGTGTAAAGAAGAAGAAGAAGAGTATTACATCGGACTCATTGCGCTTCTTCATCTCCCTCTTACTGTCCATGGAGAAGTTGCGATAGAAAGACGAGAGCAACAATAGACGAAGACAAGAGCGGCGGCTACAGAGAATCGATACAAAGTGGACAGGTTAAAAAACCCTAGACTGCATTAATCCTGGCTCGGCTTTTATTGGATGGGCTTTTGGGCTTAAGCAAAATTGTAACTGATATGTAATATATTTTATTGATCCC